ACGTCGTCGCGCTCACGATCTTCTCGCTCATGGGCGCCTTCTTCATCTACTGCGTCCACAAGTACCTCAAGTCCCAGCGCGAGGAGCGCGAGTACCAGAAGCGCAAGGCCGCGAAGAAGGAGATGCTCGCGAAGCAGGTCGCGCACATCGAACTCGAGATCGTCGAGAACGAGACGTCCCTCGAGAAGGGCGAGGCCGACGACGAGATCGAGATGTAGCCCGCCCGCCGCTTGTTTTCCCCTTCCTTCGCTAAGACACCGTCTCTGTTTTTTGCGTTTTGGGGGGGTGCAAGTTGGACTCTTCGAAAGCGTCCCGCAGGCCTTCCCGCGGCTCGTTGACGTGCAACATGGACGGACGCAGTCGGGCGCGCATCCCCTTCAATAACTTGGTCAACATGCGTCAACTCAACATGATAACGCCGAAGCTTATGGGGCGGTCCTCCGGGGTGTGCGGAGGTGGTTTCGCGCAGCGGCCGGTGGTGGGGCCCGCCGCGTCGGCTCCGGTGGGCGCCCGGGGCGGAGCACCCCGCTGCGCGCGTCGATTGGGCAGCGGGGCGCCGAGCGCGAGGACTTGCAGGGCTTGGCCATCGGCGCGACGTCGCCCATGGGCCCGGGGGGCTGCCGCGCGCGCTCGCTTCGTTCGGATGCCTTCGACGTGAGTCTCGGAGGGAGCTGGTGGGGTCGGCGCCCTCGGTGGCTTCGGTGTGCGGGCTTCGATGTGCCCGTGTCCATTCGTTTCTCTGCATTCTGCAGCGTCTCCTCGTAGCGTGGCGCTCTGTGCGGTTCCGTCGGCGTCGGCGTCTTTGCTCTCTTCGGTCCCGCTGACTACGGGTGTCCTCTTCGGCGGTGCCCTCGGCTAGCCACTTGTGGTCCTGAGGTTGAATCGGCCTAGTCGAGCCGGACGTCCTGCCCGTCGGGTGCGGGTGCCTTCGTTCTCAACCTCCCCCGGTCCACGGAGAGTCCGTTGAGTGTCGTCTGAATGAGGCGACTCANGATGCTACTGCCTTGCGCCAGTCCCGGCGTGCTCTCGGCGTGGCGGTCGGTGCCAGGCTTGGCGCGAGTGTACCG